CTCATTTGACAGTACATCACGTGCGATTTTTTGATTTTTTATTAAAAACAAAAAGAAGCGCTAAGCCACAAGAGCTATACAGCGCTGCAGGGTAGGGAAGGAAGCAAAGGGAATTGGATGGGGAGAAGGGGGGGGGATGATAGCAGGTTTTCATTTTTATTATTAAAACAAAAAAAGCGTAAAACCCCAAAGGGGGTTTTAAAAAGCGCTGCAGGGCAGGAAAGGGGCGAGGGGGTCAGGGGGCAAAAGGGAGATGAATGAGTAATAGGTTTACGGATTAAAAGCGGGGCATGGATGTTTAAAGGGTAAAGGGGACAAGAGAAATTAACAGAAAGGGGTGAGGGGATTTCGAAAAATATCATCAGAGTTTGTGGAGTAAATATTTGTTTTTCAAGAAGTCAATGAGAGAGTCAGGTTAAAGGGGGGTCCACAGCAAGAAGGGAAAAGGAAAAAAAGAGTAGTAGAACGAAGACGACTTTGGGGGTAAAATTTTGCGTGCTTCCGTTGATAGAGAGGGCATCTAAAAAGAATGGGGCTAATCGATACTGGAAAATTGACACTGCTCACAGAGAGGAGCAGGTGCCTTTTAAAAGAAAATACCCTTTAGTTAAAACAGTGTGGCCAATGCGAAGGCGGGGGAGAGTGGGGCCCCCAACCCGGCACTGATGACAAGAAGACGGCCAAAACCTATTTTTCGGGTTAATAGAAAGAAGTTTTTTACCGAGAAGTTGACCAACGTTGTTGCCAAAAGGGGGCGAAGGAGGGGAGCTTTTTGTAGCAAAATAGTCAAGAAATGGACACCTCATAGGAATTTGGGAGGGCATGTACTCGACCGCGCAGCAGGGGGTCCCGCCTGTTCAATTTCCCTGTAGGGCCGACATGACCAGGGGCCCCAAAAAAAAACAATATTTTATGTTTTTGGGAAAAGAAACGGGGTAGCCAAAGTTGGATACGGAGAACTAGGGGATGAGATGTATCAAATTTTCGTATAGCCGGTAGAGCACTAAGGGAGTCTGGAGACTACTACAAATGATGACATAGGCATAGATGCGATACGAATAAGTGCTGCAAGAATGGCATACATTTTCAGCAGTAAAAATGCTAGCTGAAGATAGAAAAATGTCCCCGCACGACGCTGTCCGGAAACACTGTTTGCGAATCCGACGCCGTCTGAAGACTTAGAGCCATCTGTGTACACAGCAGTGGCATGAGAATGGGAATGGAAGTGTTTCAAGAAAAAGAGAGCGGGAAGCCACCGTAGGCAGTTGAGCTTTCGAGAAAGGGGAGTGAGAAAGAACAGACCCGAACAGCTGGAATTTCCCCAGGGGGGTAGGGAAAAGTGAGATGCTACATGAACATTAAGGTGGAAAACTGAGGGAAGACAAGAGTGAAGTAGGCGAAGAGAAAAGGGACGGAGCAAACAGGGGCGGCAAACGAATAAAGATGTCTACTAATATCGGGGGACTTTCTATAAATGGAAGGTTGTGTAGATCGTGAAGCGTACATAGTACGAAAGGCAAGGGGCATCAGGGCCCGATCAGACAATGGAGGAACATTGCTTCTGCATAGAGGCTCTCAACAGGGGAAAGCGAAAAGCACCAAGGCACAAACGTAAACCTTGGTGATGGATAGAGTTAAGGCTAGAGAGAGTAGCAGGAGAGGCCGCGGAATAAATCTGGTCACCATAATCGAGTTTCGATAAACGAGGGCGGGAATGTAGGCGAAGCAGGAGTTCGACGATCAGCTCCCCAGGAAAGATGAGCAAGGGTTTTTAAGAAGGTTTAGCCGGCTGTGACAAATTGCCTTCAGAGGGGTTTATGTGGGTTTCCAGTTTACCGACGGTCAAAGAGAAGGCCTAGAAACCTGACTGTATCACGTTCGGGGATACGGGAGCCATAGAGGTACAAAGGATGATCGGAGATAACAGAGCGTCTAGTGAAAATAATTTGGTGAGTTTTGGTACTTGAAAAATTTAAACCCATGCGTGGTGGCCCAAGTGGAAACACGGTCGGACCGCATGCTGGAGAGAAGCTGCAATAAGATGACAGTCAGCGCCTGCACAAGCAATAGCGAAGTCATTTAACATAGAGTGATGACCAAACATTGGGTGGAAGAACAGAGGCCCAAAAACATTTATAGCAAGGGGAAAAAGTGTTGTGCTTAGAACACATCCCTGAGGGACACCTTCAGCTTGGACGAAGTCCGGGGAAAGAACATTATGACTCGAACACGGAAATGTCTGTCAGTTAAAAAGTTCTTAAGGAAGGATGGTAGATTGCCTCGGAGGCCTAAGGAATGGGCCTGGGCCAAAATATTATACCTCCAGTTGTGTCATATGCCTTCTCAAGGTCAAAAAATATGGCAATAACTGAGTGATTATTCGCAAAGGCATTACGAACATACGTATCCAAGCGAAGGGAAGGGGTCATGGTAGAACACCTTACGAAAGCCATATTGACTAGCGGAGAGACTGTTGTGTGTCTCTAAATACCACCATTAAACGTCGATTTACGAGACGTTCCATCACTTTGCAAACTGCACTTGTAAGAGCGATGGGGCGATATGGGAGGCATCATGTCCTGTAGTACCCGGTTTTGCGGAAAGGGAGAACAATGGCAGATTTCCACAGCTGGGGAAGAACTCCTTGTGCCCAAATAAGATTGAAGAGGTGTAAGAGGACTACAAGGGCTGACCGATGTAAATGTTGAACATACGAATATGAATGTCATCAGGCCCAGCTGCCGATGATCGGCAAGCTGAGAGCGTTGCCTCCAGTTCTTGAAGTGTAAAAGGCACATTATACTGTTCTTCTCCGAGAGAAGAAAAGTCCAAGGGTACTAACTCTCTGGCAGACTTTGAGGAAAGAAACGAGGGGGATAGATGGAGCCCCCGGGGAAAAA